CTGCTAAAATAAAATTGTATGTTTCCTACTTGTAATAGGTAAATTGCAATTTCGGTATCTGGAACTTGATGAAACTACAGATTTCAACTGAGCTCTGTTGTCAAACACCATTCAGTAAGTTAGTTGTATCCTACTTCCAAGATCTCGGAGTAAACAATTTATATCCGCTACCAAATGACAGATCTTTTCAAAACAATAGTCCAAGATATTGGCAAATATTCACTTAAACACTACGCACTGCCATCTTCATCTCATTTATCATTTCCCAGACCAGGCAATTTGAAGGTACCGCGGCCTTGGCCTGGTGAAGAAACGGGGAGGTTTTTTAGTCAGTAAGAGCCTGACACTCCCTCACCCTTGGCTAGAGAAGATCTTTGAGGATATTCTCCCCTAAAAAATGGCAGATTTGTCTATTTCTTATCACCAGTTAGATTTATCCCACTATTCAACTTGAGTTAATTCATATCCATCCAATAATATTCTACGAGGTATTTACCTCCAGCAACTCCGTATACAAATAAACTATTTATACGCCATGAGTCACATAGCGTTCCAGTTTATATGTCGTGTCCGCTGTATTGCTATTGTCTGTCTTAAACTGGGTCAGGATAAAAATACTCTTTACTTTAGTCCGTTTGCGTTTTAACATGCAGATGGGTTGATTTTGCCAAATATGGACACTGAATTTAAGTGTGGGATAGCCATGGTAAAATATATTGAATCAAATATGTATTTCACACGAAAGGGTGTTTTCGAATGACTCTTCCAAAGTATTTCTTTACCAAGATCACGCACCTCTATTAAATTCGCTTAAAATTGAACTAAACAATACGATACACCATTATCATTGGCTTGAAAACGTCATGACCGAACAAAGGAATCCGTTCCGGACCAGAACCATCAAGTAGCGTGCACCTCAAACAGTCATCCAACTACCACTGATGGGGCTATGTCCAGTTGGAGTTGCATGTCAAGCACAATAATATACCCCTGCCTTGGCCTGGAGCAGGAGAAGTAACGGGGTGATTTTAGTCAGTAAGAAAAAACTTGCTATCGCCTCATCCAGGCCAGAGAAGATATTTGACGATTCACGCCTGTCCAAAAAAGGGTCTTTGCCATATACCTTCTGCTTGGTAGGCCACCATCATGTTATAACTAGGGCACGCTAGTTGCGCAGACGCAACGGAATGTCCCAGTTCTTAAAATGGTTTAATTTGAAAACATTTTTAAAAAACTGTGTTAAAATTTCATCTATATTTATTTTATTAAATAACAGTCTTACGTTAATATCCATATTTGAAGTTACATGACTTTGTATGACCTTTTTGAAGTAGGTATTTGAATTTTCAACTGCAGACGGTTTATTGAAGTTGGAATGTTGACTAATTGTTTTACTATGCACCGTGAAGGTGGTTCTGCCATATGGTTTGCCATATATAGTTCGAGATCTATAAATAATATAATTTCGTGCCTATTGAATGAATTTTTGAGTATGAGTCAGAGAGATGTAACAGTGACAAGCTATTACGAGGTCCATATTATGTAGACATTGGAGATCAAAGCTGTTAGTGTGGGAGAGCCAAGCTTCGACATGAATGGGTCGGCTTGACCGGAGTGATACCACGGCTCCACAGAAAACCAGCGAGAAACAACCACAGCGTTGTGCTTGTGCCGTGTGAATATTATGATGTGACTAGTCAATGTCAGTTATCAAATCCCTTAGAGCTAAGGGTAACTTTAAATAAAAACTGAACATTCAAAACACTGCATTTGACTGCACGGTTGGTGCGGTGGCTGGGTAATTGGCTGCGGTGCAACGTGTCTCGTTCGATACACGGAACAACACTTTGTGTGATCCACAAATTGTTGTTTCGGGTCTGGGTGTCATTTGTATGTGAAATTAAATGTTTGTAACCCACGACACAGGAGAAAAATCTAGTGTGGAGCAACGATTCTTTTTAAAAAAACAAACATACAATCGAATTGAGAACCTCCTCCTTTTTTTGAAGTCGGTTAAAAAAACGTACCATTTCACATTTTTCTCTCCAGAGGTCATACGACACAATCCAAAAACTTCAAAATCAACTTCACACGGTGTACGAACGAAGCATCGAACGAGTAATCGACGCAGCATTGTTACCTAATTGTTGTATTATACTCTTGTGAAGTGGGTCAGCGTTTGCGAAAACGACTTGTGGTGCAACGCCCAATGGACTGTAGCTACATTTTAAATGCGAATCATATTATTCTATTTTTTTTTATTGCCCAAAATATTTGGCACATAGTCATGTGTCTGTTAGGTAGTTGCTAAATTTTTATACCTACATTTTTTACCTGACGGTAAGCAACGCCGCCCCTGGACCTCATAATACTAAAGGTACGTACGAGAAACTACAAGTGCGTTGCCGGCCTTTAATGGGTTTTTGGGGATTTATGGATAGGGAATTTGAGAATGGAGATGAGATTGACTCACACGGCGAAAAACAAAGGAGTTGGTTCACGCCGGTATTCTAAGGCCATTTAGCATGCTGAAGCATGGCTCTCCCACAACTATTTCTTATCGGCTTTGTCTGGATTATTTACTCGGCGAAATTATTATTGATCGTCTATTAAGTAGACTGTAAAGCAGATTGAGGCGTTGCCAAGATTTATTGAGAGTTTAGTCATTTAATTAATCAATAAAACAACGCCGTTTATTTTATTTGTTGAACTTCAACGGTTGTTAACATTATATTTGAAGACGAAGATGAAGTCATTCAAAAACAGACTTCTTAATTGACTTACTCAATACTTTATTAGCGTTTCATAAAATGGGACGCAAAAATAACAAAAATTACCTTATCTATACTAATATTATAAACAGGTAAAATTTGTAAGTTTGTATGTAGGGGTAATCTTTGGAACCGCTGGTCGCATTTCCAAAATTCTTTCACTGATTGATAGCTACAATGTTCCTGAGTGCTATAGGTTATAAAACATCACGCTATGATCAAATGGAGCCGAGCAGCGGGTGAAACCGCGCGAGAGTAGCTAGTTTTTTATGAAGTTGAAACAATATGGACCCTGTAGGGCACAGCATAAAGAAATTAAAAAAGTTTGCAATACATAATATAATCTTATTACCTATTATAGTCTACGAGTATGCTTTAATATTCTATTAATGAAATTCCTAGTTATTGACATTGAAATAGTTTCATACTATTATTGCGCAGATTTATTGCATATTGAATTTATCAGAAATTCTTGTATTATATAGGTATTTTACACGTCCACGGTCGGGAAAAATGGCATTCAATCCACTTAAACAAACTGTAACAACAACAGAACTGCTTAACACATGACTGTCCATAAAATGCAATTGCAAATCAATTTTCCTCAATAGATTACCGTATGTATTGAATAAATGCATGTATTTACGTGCTAAATGTCCAATTCAATTATCATAATTATGCTGACTTGAGCTGGTCAGTCACCTGGGATGTGTCGTTATAAGTTAATTAAGTACTAATTATAAGCCTTTGGTTACTAATCAGACGCTTTTACTAATTATAAGCCTTTAAAATTGCAATCTATATCTATACTATATTATAAAGAGGTAAAATTTGTAAGTTACTATGTACTTATTACCCCCAATCTTTGGAACCGCTGGTCGGATTGCCAAAATTCTTTCACTGATAGATAGATAGTTACAATGTTCCTGAGTGCTATAGGCTATAAAACATTACGCTGCGACCAAATGGAGCCGAGCCGTGGGAGAAACCGCGCGAGAATAGCTAGTATTAATATAAAGAGTGCATTATTGTTCCCAAAAAGCTATTTTAGCAATGTATGCACACACATATTGCATAACATATTTATTTCATAATTTTTTAGGGTTTATTCACATTAGCTGTTTGACGAGATAACTCGACTAGTTTCAAGCTATGGTAGGAACTTATAAATTTGAGAAACATTAAATAAAACTATAAGCAATACAAATACAATATTTTGTTAGTACCGTATGAAACGATAAAAAATTCTGAGAAGTACACAGAATACTTCTATATCTAGATTTTTCTTAACGTGTCAACTTTTTAGACATTTATTACCTATGACATTAATTGTAAACTTTATAGGTATTTAATTTTTACTCGTATATACGATTTTCGTCACGTGTATTGCATACTAAAAACCTTGCTTTTCTAACTAAATCTCTGAGGTTTTTCTTCTGTCATGAAAAAGGTACCGTTTCAGAGCGTACGAAAATCATGGACTGCAGAATATTTAATTAAAATACCTTATAATAATTTACCTGTTAACAGAAATATAAACTCTGTTTACAAGATAGGTATAATTTGCAACAACAATCAAACATAACTAGCTACTGCTCCCGTCTTCGCACGGGTGCAGTGCTGATACTAAATTTCTCCACTATTTAACAGTGAACATACAAACATTCATATAAACCATTCCCACCAATCCCACCAATACTATATTTTTTTAAAAACGGCATCAAAATCCGTTGCCTAGTTTAAAAGATTTCAATTTTTTTATTTATTTACGTTTGTACATAAATATACATACATTAGGTCTTACATTTTAATTAATCTAGGTACATTACGGTGCCTGTATAGAATTGAATCTGTACCACAGGCGTTACGGTCACTTTCAGTTACTGTTATGCTATGATTCATCCTTAACAATATTTATTTTTATTCAGATAACTAACTCATAATTTATACATAATCATACATTTCATTTATACATATTTGAGGAAATACATTAAAACTTAACTATTACTATATTACTACCCAATTAAATATTTGTCACAGTCACAGTGTATTTTGCGACAGTCAGCAACGCCTCGGTTTCGTCGTTTTAAGCATACATAGGGTTAAAACATGGTTAAAAGGATAGAGAAAGCGATTTTCTTTTAATACTAAGCATACGAATGAAGGGAGTGAGAAAGCGACTTAATAGTTTTATACTATGTAGTGATATAAAACCTCTCTTTATTACAGGTATGGCACAAAGGCTGCTTCAAATGTCAAGAATGCGGGATGACTCTCAACATGAGGACCTACAAAGGATATGGAAAGCTACCATACTGCGAAGCGTGAGTATTCTTTATCTTCATTTTAAAACTTTGTCCCACATTAGGATTTTCTCCTGTATCGTGGGTACGTTTACAAACATACAATTTCACATACACATCACACTCACACCGGGAGCAAACAATCTATGGATCACACAAAAAGTTGTTCCGTGCCTGAATCTTGACAGGAGTGATATCACGGCCTCGCAGCAAACCGGCGTGAAATAACATTTACCTACGTTCTCTTTCGTCGTGTGAGTTGCCAGAGGCCCAATACTTCCATCCCCCCCCATCTTCGATCCTAAATCTCCTATTCTTAAATCCCTAATAACTCTCAAGAGGTCGGCAATGCACATGTAGTTACTCTTTTTGTATTACGAGTGCCCATGAGCGGCGCTGGTTGGCTACCACCAGGTAATCCGTCTGCTCGTTTGCCGACTTACTCCATAAAAAAATATTAAATTTAAACTGAATACTAAACCAGTGACAATAAAATTTTACTTTCGTTCCATTATAATTATGTTAATTAACTGCCATTACCTAATGTTAATCAGTAAAGGTTCGGTTGGCCCATTCATATTACTATCACGTCTCACGGGTCAAGGTCGCGAACAAGTTTTTTAATAGTTTTCTAACGAATTTTATTTGAATAACTAGTTCGAGGCATTTATATGGAGGTTTTGAAGAAAATTTTATACATATAAATCTACAAGGTTCGAGCAACTACAACGATGAATATTTATTTATTTATTATCAGTCAGTTAATTGTTTTCCCAGTACATAAAATGCAAAGACAATGTCAGTTTAGGTTTCATGTTTTTCCAACGCTCATGGCCATGTAGCGTATTACCATACGTCAGCTCGACAAGAGTGTGACACTCCCTCTGCTCATACCCAGGGTGGAAGCAGTCATTCTATGATTTACTCTAAAGCCGAGCCAAAGATCGACACTTCGAAGGTTTGTGCCGAGAAATTCTAAAAACGTAAAATCTAATATATTATAAAATTCTCGTGTCACAGTTTTCGTTGCTATACTCCTCCGAAACGGCTTGGCCGATTTTGATGACATTTTTTATGCCTATCCGGTATCCGGATATGAGAATCGGCCAACATCCATTTTTCATCCCCCTAAATGTTAGGGGTAGCCCTTATTTTTATTTTAAGTCAATATTTTTAATTTCTTTTTTATGATACAACATACAAAAATACATACAAGCCCAATTTTCACTCTTCTACAATCAACCCTTATTTTTTAATAACAAAAAACGGGTTAGCTAGTAAACATATATAATATTTGTTCCCCAAGTCCATAATCTTTGTTACCTTTAGAAATGTGATTGAATTCTTCTACAGTTAAACTCCATCCAAAGGTTTTTTTACAAGAAATGGTTGATTAACGACAAGACCGCCAATTCTCTCTCTGTTCGTTGTTTCCTGTATTTTTTATTATCATGGTGTAAAACAAAGAACATTCAATTATTCATTTATTGAATTCTTTAGTGCAGAGTTCTAAATTATTGATAGAAAACAAGTATTTTATAGGAATAAAAATTTACTTCAATCATTTTATCGTGTTTCACATTAGAATTCATTCAAGTTAGAACTTGTCACATACATATTTACGTAGGCGAACCTGACTAAACAAGCGTCATACAGTCATCCGTTCATTATTATGAGCTCAAACAAATTAATTTTCCTTCCATTTCATTATTGTTTTCTAGACCAAAGTCTGGGCTAATAAAATTTACTCCTCTGATGCCAAAACCCCATAAATCCAATGAGACGTTAATATCAGACATGACCCTCAATCTTTCTTCCTGATCCTTACTGTGTTCTGGCGTGGTTAAGTGTTGAGTATTCGCTTTATACTCACAAGCTTAAATTTATAACATCATCATCAGTCGGAAGACATCCACTTATGGTGGCATCAATCATTGACAACTCGCCTTTTGCATCCAGTGGAACCCGACTCTGACGACACCGTCCGCTTACCTAGTGGAAGACGACCCCATCATGACGCCAACAATGACTAAATACAAACAACATTATGGAGCATTAAAGTTGCATAGTCGCGGTTTCCACGCCAGATCTCGTCTATAAAGAGCCAATAGACCTCCACAGACGGGGTCCTATAGGGCCGATGTCCAGCCGGGGTTGGGGGGCTAGCGTAATAAGGTATCGCGGCCTCTGCTTAGGGCAGGAGAAGGAACGGGGTTTTTCAATCACAAAAAGGCCTGACATTCCTTCTCGCCTGGACCCTGGACGAGAAAGTCATTTGATGTAAAAAAGATCTCGTTTACCCTAATTATCGTCGGTTCTTCAACACATTTTCAAAGGTGTTGGTGGAGGTGAGCTATGGACAAATACCTTTTAATTGATAATGGTTCTACAAAAGCCTACAATTAGCGACCGGTGTACCTAGTTCTGTTGATATTGTTACTCACACTAATTACTGGATTACTCATATACATAACGCATTTGTTATGCTACACTGCGTCATGTGAATCATGCGCGTACGCAAATGGAGATGTCAGTTTTACATTCAGTTCAATTGAATTTGAATTTTATGATTTATGAGAATATAGAGATATTCTTATAAGGTCCTTTAACAGTCTAGTAAAAATCAAAAGGGGAAAAACAATCAATCTAATTTACATGTGATAAGTGATTTGTCGAATAAATGTGTTTTCTTTCTTTCTTTCTTTCTTTCAAGTGTGGGAGAGCCATGCTTCGGCACGAATGGGTCGGCTCGACCGGAGTGATACCACGGCGTCACAGAATACCGGCGTATAACAACCACAGCGTTGTGTTTCGCCGTGTGAGTGAAGTTATCGGACGCCCAATCCAGTCCCTTCCCCTATCCCTTCCTGAAAAAAGGCCGGCAACGCACTCGTAACTCCTTTGGAGTTGCGGGTGTCCATGGGCGGCGCCGATTGCTTACCATCAGGTAATTCGCCTGCTCGTTTGCCGACTTATACCATAAAAAAAAAGTCTGCGAACGAGCAGATGAATTTCTAGATGACAAGCAATCGGCGCCGCCCATTAATACACAATACCTGAAGAACTATGAGTGCGTTGCCGGCCTTCTGGGGAACAGGAATTCGGAAATTTTGCGATTGAGGAAGGATGGAAAGAAGGAGAAGGATTGAGATGGTTGTTGGTTAGTAAGAGCCTGACACTCACTCTCGCCTCATTCTGGGCAACAGAAAGAGACGCCATTTGATGAATTACCCACTCTAAAATAAAAATACTTCGGGCACACGCCACGGACAGGTTTTCTCGATATTGAAACGCGTAAATCGATTGTACATTTTTTTTTCATAAAACACAATGCTTAACACTAAGAATAGGCATTCCGGTATGACGGAATCAAATACAAACACGTTTGTTACGTGTGTTACGTCAAATCGGACCGATTTCAATGTAAATGAGTGACTGGTCAACAACTTGTTCGTAATTATGCAACGAAACGCATATTTTATCCAGCTATGGCCAGCTATTGGCGATTGCCGGCTCAGTGTTGGGTTGGTGTCGATGTTCTTGTGTGAACCTATATTCTGTTCCTGGTGGATTCCTTCTTCTATAAGTCTATTCATGACCTCACACAGCAATACTTCGGAATGATCCGGATACCGGAGGCCCAATCCTTCCCCTTCCCCAATCCCTCCTCAATCCCTAAATCTCCAAATCCCATATCCCTAAAAGGTCGGCAACGCACTCGTAACTCCTCCGTTGCGAGTGTCAATGGGCGGCGCTGATTGCTTACCATCAGGTAATCCGTCTGCTTGTTTGCCGACCTATTACATAAAAAAAATTATCTTTTGGCGGCAGTGTTTCCGAAACGACCTTCAAACCTTCAAGAAACGAGCGTTCTCCTTTTTAAAAGACCAGTAACGTGTCTGTTTATGCTCTGGTGTTACGGATGTCCATGGGCTTACCCATTTATGGGCACTTACCATCATGTGAAAAAAAAACTTTCAAAATCTTTTATGTATTCTGCCCAGAGTAAAGAGATTATCAAACTCTTGCTGACTAAACCTACTCCGTTTCAATTGCTTGCTCCGAGCCGGGTCCCTGTATGTCATTTCAAACTAAGCCTTACCTAAAAACCCATCTCTCCTTGAAGGGGAAGACCTTAAAAAGGTAGTAAGCTTTTTGACCAGGAATTACGTAATTCTTACCTGAAAAAGTGGCTTTATTATGGATGCTGTTCACTTTTTTATACGATGTCTGTAAACCAGTGTTTGAATCATCTGATTCACCTGTGATGTAAGCAATCGGAATCGCACATAGACACAAGTAATACCAGAACGTGAGAGTGATTTGGAGATTGGGCGAAATTGTTAAGGTTCATTGATAACCTTACTCACACGGAGAAACTTAACGTAACCGTCTTGTCCCTTCGGTCTTGGCAATGAATCTGATCGAACCGACTCATTCGTACCGAAGCATAACCCGCATACAATATCAATATACCGAAACGTTTCACATCTCTACCTCATGAGTTCTGCATTCTGCATTTATTAGCACTTACTGTATGTTTGTCATCAATGGGCGGAATGTATTTATAGGCCCGTCTCTCACAAACCTTGGCCTGATTCTCATGACAATTACTGAGTAAAAACTTGTTATTGTCGCGTTTGCGCCCACAAGGCGAAAAATGGCGCTAGTGTAGTTTATTGTCGCTTTTAAAAACATGTTCGATAAGGAGATTTCAACTCTAACTGATTAGCTCTATATAAAAAAACATAATTCCTGCAATTTTTGATAATTTGGACATACCACATTCAATAGGGTAGTTAGTAGTAGTAAACTAGTCATATTAAATTTTCCAAAAAGTCAAATACAACAATGTTTGTCTGTTACGATTTTACTCAAAAACTACTGAACAGATCTTGAGGTGATTTGGCATAGACTCCTAAAAACACACTGGCTTTTAGTAATACAATTTTTTTTTATTAAAATTTTCTGTCTACCTCCATTATATATTTAAAATCAACAATACACATATATCATAATTATGTATGTATATGTAAATTACCAGTGATTATTTAATGTTAATATGCACAACGGTGTAATTGTGACGCGGTACGCAACTCACGCGCACGTTGGTAAGGTCAGGGACTCGTAATCGAATGTTTACGCTTTCTCTATTATTTAGTTAGATAGTGAATTACTGATTAAAGCATTCTTTTACTACCTTTTTTGAGGGGGAGGGGGAATTAAACCCCCCATTCCTTTTGCTCCAGGCCAAGACCGATAAGTGATAACTTCAGCTAATTATTGTTTGAAGGGGGAAATTCATCATACAAATTTTCTTATGGCATAGGTCGGCAAACGAGCAAAAGAATTACCTTGTAAGCAACCGGCGCCGCCCATGGTCACTCGTAATACCGAAGGAGTTACAAGCACGTTGCCGGCCTTTAGTGGAATCTTAGGGATTTATGGAAAGAGGATTTGAGGATTGAGAATGGGAAGGGTAGGACTCTATGTAAGTGTGTTTAACGCCGGTATGAGGTCGTGGTATCACTCAAATCGTGGCTCGATTGGAGTGTTACACGACCTCATATTCCGCCCATTCGTTCCGAAGTATTTCTCTCCTACACTTAATCTAGCATAGTCAAGGAGTTTCAGACTTACTGGACAAAAACCACCCTGTTCCAACCCTTGTTTTGAGCCAGGATGCGGTACATCATTGCCCCCATGATCAGGACAAAGTTACAAAAAAACCAAATTGGCCGTATTCGTCACTTCTGATTTCAAGAATATTATAACGAAACGCATACCTGCAAATATTTATCTATTGCATGCTACAAATGATAGGAGCAAACCTATTACCGTGAGCCGTAAACATTTTAATATTCCGTGCTTCTGTCACGATGTCACGTTAAATTACTTGAATACCAGTTTGACGTCACAATTATGAAAGTTACCCAATGCAATTGAACACACTTTTACTCCAAACGGCGAAAACTAATCAGTTTTTTTTCTGCGAAATTTGTTTGGTTTTTTGTTGGTTTCATTGGCTATGTTTATGCTCTGTTCAGTGGGGCACTTTCGTCGTTTTGTGAGTTGTAAGTTTTCTGTGATTGCTTTAATTCAAACATAGTCTTCTCCCGCCCAGCGTAAAGTGAGTGTCAGACTCTTAACTGACTAAACCCCCCCCCATTCCTTCTCCTGCTCTGGAAACATCGATGTGCTAAGAGTTGTTTTGCCCTGGGTGTGTCAAACTACCCGTGACCCAATCCCCAAATCCTCTATCCTTAACTACCTACAAAAGGCGGGCAACTTAATTTGGTGTTGCGAGTTTATGACTGGTGTCGATCTTTTACCATCAGTAGGCCTAACATGATGTGTTAGAGAGTCAATCTGCTGGGCGAGGAAGAGGGATGGAGCTATACACCATTTATAGGACGGACAGATCGGCTACCACTATTGCGACCAAAAGATTTGGATTTGCAGTTAATTTGTGGTAATTTACCTACTACAAGTTATGGTAAAGTGCTTGTGTTTTAATTAACTTTATACTTGATTACAGACATGTACCAAAAGCGAAGCACACGACAATGGCGGAAACGCCGGAGTTGAAGCGAATAGCCGAGAACACGAAGATACAGAGCAACGTCAAGTATCACGCCGACTTCGAGAAGAGCAAGGGGAAATTCACACAGGTAAATACATAAAAAATGAAAAACTAACCTTATAAATATCACCATAACGTATAATTTATTTCAGCAATCTTACCTTTGTAGTAGTATTGTCTTCGTGTATTAGAGTAATCTTCGCTCCGGGCGATAGTTGAGTTACAATAGCACTCCGAGGCGACCTAGTACTGTAGGGCGCCCTCCAGGTGGACTGACGACATCCGCAGGGTGGCTGGCAGTGGTTGGATGAAAAGAGCTGAACATCGAGCTCAGTGGCGTGCTATTGGGGAGGCCTATGTCCAGCAGTGGACGACAACAAGCTGATGATGATGATGAAATACATAAATCCTATTACACATGCTTTCGGTATCAATACCACGGTCTCTTGAAATTTATCAAAGTGATCGGACGACCAATCCTTTCTTCGAAAAAGGCCTACATCTCACTTATAAAGTCTTTGCTTTTGTGAGCGTCCATGGGTGGTGCTGATTGCTTACCATCAGGTTATCCGTATGCTCGTCACCGCCTTACCCCTCTAGCCCCTCATCTGTCAACAAAGAATTTTAAAATCAACAGAACCTACAACATTTATTTTTCGCTCCTGTTCCTTCGTCGGTTTTGGGGTGCTTAGCCCTGTTTGATACGTCCAAAAATTACGTGTCTAACGTTACGTGTAAATTTATTACAAATAAGATTATTCATCTATATTCAAATTTCACCGATTAGATTGAAATGTGAAATCAAAAGAAATAAACGGGGCTTTGTTAACCAGAGAGACTTAGAAATTTCCAAACATTTGTTTCAATTATAAAGCGATAACGATTATCGATACTAAAATTAAATATCAACGCTAATATCCTCCTAAACCATTCCAGGTTGCCGATGACCCAGAAACATTGCGAATTAAAGCGAATACAAAAATCATTAGTAACGTCGCGTACCATGGCGAGTTAGAAAAGAAGGCTCAAATGGAGAAACAGAGACAGATTAATGAGAACGGTGAGATTGTCGGTGAGTGGTCAATGTTTGTCTGTTGTTGGCGTGTTGGTTATGTTGGCTGTTGGTTGTTGGCACCCAATGTTTGTGGTTGGATCTCAATTGTTTTTTACACTTATTGATATATGGTTTGGCCTTTGTGATTATACTGTAGTTTCCAACTCGTCAAATTCAATACTTTTATCCAAATGTCAAAAACTATATTTTTATTTAAATTTAGGACGTCATAGTATTTATGAATCAAATAAATTACTTATGTAAATTAGATAAAAAATCGAATATTTAGTGCATCGACAGATCGATAATAGAAGTATAGTTATTTTTCAATATTTTTATTATAACTTTCGTGAAATTAATTATTATGTTTTCGGCTTACTCACGTTATAATTTGACGAGATACTCGACTAGTTTCAAGCCATGCTAGAGGCCCATAATCATGAGCAGCATTCCGCGACAGTCACAGCGTCGCGTGTAAATTTTTTAAAATTGTACATATTAAAACGTCGAATTACTTTATTTTTGACTTAAGCTACCCAATTGACCGGTATTTCTTTAATGGCTAGTTATTAGAAGTAACGTATGTGACTTCTCCAAGTTTAAAACTGTGTTATATTCAACTATTGTACTGTGTGCTTAGTCTTGGCCACGGCCTGCTTGGCAGACTCACACGATTTAATTCATGTAATGAAAAAATATTTAAGTCGCTTGAAATAAATTGTAATCGATACTATGGATTAGTTACTGGTTTATACTGGTTCTGCTAGTTGTTTAGTCTACAGTACCTGGGTAAAAGTATGATCCAGACCATAATATTTATCACTAGGTCAAAGTTTATTCTGCTTAGAAAAATTACGTGAAGGAGTAACAATAAAATTGATATAACATAATCACGAAGTCATATGAAAATGAATAATTTCAATAAAGCATTATCGAGATCCAATTACATCACATTAATATTCAATTCTCACTGTTATCAATAGCAGTATGACCGTCAGAGCAAGTTCTTTAGCTTATATTATCTAAACTCTATCTAATAAATAATTTATATAATTTTCTGGGAGAAGGATGGCCATTATAAATGATTTCCAGACGGAATTAAAAAAAAAATAGTATGCTCGAATTCAAAATTTGATCTTAATAAATTGATTCTTTACCTTTGATTTTCTATATTCTTGATTTAATGACGGTGAAGGCACCAGTCGTGAGGTAACTTGCACTTATAATTTCTAATAAAAAACCCGCCATGAGAAAGCGTGCCGCTTAATGATCAAACCTTCTCCGTGTGAGAAGAGGCCTTTGCCCAGCAATGGTGGGTGACTTTTATCATTACATCAAAATTATTAAGCTACCTAGGAATAGTAGGAATAAAAAAATTTAAGTCAAAGTCGTTATTCGATTCTGAAAGTTTTCAAAACAATTGTCTTGGTTTTGAAGTTAATTAAAAAGCACAAAAGCTCTCTGACAGTCAAATTGTTATTATAAAGCGTATCGTGATTGCACAAACACTGTGTCTATGTTCAATCATAGTTTTTGTCTTGGCCATACGTTGCTAACTATCATAATCGTTATCGAGAAATAACGGAAAAATAACATTATAAGTGATTATTGATATTTATTAATAATTTCATGGGTCTAATAACTTGTTGTCCCCTTGACAGCAATGTCCGGGATAAGATTTCTGAGTGATTACAGTTTCTAATTTTAGTAGTATCGACAACTTATTGGGTCGATACTTCCATAGACAAAAAAGTTGTTGAGAAAAAGCAAAAAAACCAAATCCAAGTAATTAAATAAAATTCATTCCTAATGTAAGCACTAAATATCACCAATTTTAATTAAGCCCTGGATCCTAATTGAATAAAAATTGGATTACTGATGATTCTGGGATCTTTTAGTCACTGTTTTAAAGGCAAAAAAATACGAGTAAATTAAAAAGACCAGTGTAAAATACACAAATAAAATGTTATTTTTCCGTCACCACACATATGTTTCTAATACTTGTTCCTCATTAGACGTACCACCGGACAACTATCATCAACAAATCGACAACTACGCAACGGAAATGCTGCCTCCAAACTCACCCCCACCTAATTTACCCCCTAAAAACCACTATCAGACCCCGTCAACCCAATATCAAGCCCCTGTCCAACCCACCCAGCCCCAGCTGAAGCAAAACAGGCAATATCAAGAGCAATATCAGGAGTATCAAGGTCAATACTATCCCCAATATCAAGACTATCAGTATCAGCAATATCAAAACTATCCCCCGCCTCAGCAGCAGCAGAGTCAGCAGCAGAAAATTGGAAGGATTCAGGACTATGATCCAATCAGCGACGGGCCTAGGGCTCCACCAAATACACAGAGGGCGTCCGCTACGCTTATCTATAACAGCACTAATGATGGAAAACGAGGTTTGTTTTATTTGTTGCTCTTTTGGATATTTGATTTTCTATGATATCAGTGATTTTTAATATCACACTCATTATTTTCCTATATTGAGTGTGATATTTAATTCATGAGTAGATTGATTATTTTTGAGGAGTATATTATTTTTTATTTTTTGGTTTTATATCATGTTATTTATTGTGATAAGGGCGAAGAAATTAGTACTTATACTAATGAGTATTTTAAATATTTTTTTTGTTGTATAAATATGAGTCAAGTATCCAAACATTTGTTTTTAAATATTCTATTTAAATGTTATTTGTATCATTCCATTTTTATGTTTCATCTGATTTTTTGTTGTCATTATGTGTCTATGTTGGTTTTGGGTTGTTTTTAATATTATCGATTTCTCTTTATGTCGACAAAACTAAGTAATTTTAAAGTAAATACGTTATTGAAAGATTGACAATTTAAATATTGATTTTGCAATAATTCATCTAAACATCTTACTCAACTGAACTATTTTATAAAATAAATACTAAATGCTATAAAATGCTTTTCGAGAGCCCTTTGTATTCAGCTAAACACATTCATTGCCCCCGACCGAGAAATATAGGCGGCGTCCGAGATATCATTCTGAAAATCGTAGCGGTAATGAAAGTGTTAAGGTGAAAACAGACTGATAATGATATTGACGATCAATATATTATGTTCACGCTACCTCCAGGAGCTCACCAGCAATCAGGGCATCAGCAGCAACAGACGCGTCAAATCGGTCGCGTGACGGACCTCGATCCACTCGCCAATGAAATGCCACGTCCCCCACCCACTAATCACCATAATCAGGTAAATTATTCAAATGAAGTTATAATATATACTTCTGCTAAACTCAAAATGTCGTAGTGGCCCAGAGGTTGAAGCGCCCGCTTCTCAAGCATGAGCTTCGAAACCTGGCAAGTACCAATGTGACTTTTCAAGTTATATGTACTTTCTATGAATAATTAGACACCACTGCCAAACAGTGAAAGAAAAGATCGTAAAGAAACCTGGACTTATGATTTCTAATTATAAGTTTGAAATCGCTAATCCGCTTTGAGCAAGCGTGGTGATTAATGCTCAAACTTTCTCTGTGTGAAAGAGCCTTTGCTCAGCAGTGGGCAGATATAGGCTGATGATATATAACTCAAAGTAATGGCAGAGTCAGAGGTGTCTACAGTCAGAGTCAGTGTCTGGTGTTGCTAGATAAAAAAAGTCTCGTGTTTATTTTATTTTTTTCTGTTTTGTTGACGTCTTTGCATTTGTTATGTAAAGTGATGGTCAAAAGTGCAGTTGCACTTTACCAATGCTAAGTGTCTTAATTTTTTTTCAATGTAGACGGTCAGAAGTTCCTTGACTGATTAAATTGTAGCATAAATTCTAGAATAATTAATAACAAGTTTTTAGATTTTTTAAGTTTAAAGTTTTACACATTTTCGCATTGGTAGAGTGTAATTTGTTCCTTGGTCCTAGACTGTATATCACACAAATATCCCAGCCAATGTGTTAAGTGCTTTTTGTTTTTCTTTGAGAGAAGAAAATTATGGAATCGAAAATGAAATCGCTCCGGATGGAAGAAAGGGGGTGTCAGACATAAAAACCACCTTGTCAAAACTGCTAATCCGACAAGAGACACGGAAATTTTTCATTCTCTTCCCGTAATTCTAGCTACGGCTTTAGCAGCCGCCATCATTGCTAGTCTGCCACTGTTCTTAAAAGTGTCGGTATAGAAGAAACAATAGAAAATAGATTGTGTCTCGTGTGGATCCACGTTTGAAACACATGCAATGTTAATTAATACAATATGTTTTGTTACAGCGAGTGTACGTAGCTATGTACGACTACGAGGCAAGCGACAGCGATGAGGTAAGCTTAACTCATGTATAAAATCTTGTTAATAAACTGGAAAATTTACCAATTATTGTGATGTTTTTCAATGTATTCATTAGAGATACGGCATCGTAAGATCAAAAGAAGAAAGCACCAGCAAAATTAAATGTATCACAGTATAAAACAAAGTCGTTGTCTCTGTCCCTATGTGTATATCCCTATGTAGGCTTAAATCTTAAAAACTCAACCGTTATTGATGTAGGTTTTTTCATAGATAGCGTGATTCAAGAGGAACTTTTATATGTATAATAATATCCTTTAAATGGAGGAGAAATTTATATCAGTATTGCACCCATGCGAAAATAAAAAACAATTTCCTTTTTCAGGTATCATTCCGCGAAGGTGATTTAATCTCGAACGTAACGTCAATCGACTCCGGCTGGATGACCGGACAGGTTCTACGCACGGGCCGGACCGGCATGCTCCCAGCTAACTACGTAGAACTAACGACCCCCAACGCTGGACCCCACTACGACAACTGATGTCATGACTATAGACCCCAAATGACAATCGAATGATTATTTTGTTGTATGTGGTTGATAGTGATTGAGTTTTATAGGTATACTAACCTTTAAGAAATTTTATGAAGGTTCACATCGTGGTGTCATAAATTTTGCAGACGTACCTACGCTATGGTGATTGCAAAAATCTCATACCAAAAGATAACATTCCAATTTACTTAACACAAACTTTCTCTTGTTTCGCACGCTTATCTCCCGGGATATTAAGCAGGAAAAGAGGAAAATTGTAGCTAACTATCAGTAAAAGAATTTTGGAAATCCGACCAGCGGTTCCAAAGATTACCCCCTACACACAAACTTTCAAATTGTACCTCTTATAATATTCGTATAGATATTTCATACACTATCACATCACATACAGCAAAATAACCTAATAACGTCACCCGTTTAAAATCAAACATGCAATTTTATTATTAAGTCATTTTAACTAATAAAAAGATCCAATCAAATATGCAATCGTGCCTTTAGAAACACGATTTTGTCACTTTTTTAAACATTTATAATGTAAAGCAATGTTTCGTAATCTTTCACATTTTGTACTAAAATTTTAACTTATTTAATGTATACTTAATGGTACTAATTAAAACTTGGACGGTATTAAGCGCACCTTTATTAAATGGGACTTGAAAAATACCTATGGTATTGCATCGTTGCGCATCCACAGCCTAATCCCTCGAAGAACATAAGTTCACCAGTTGAATGGCGTCAAAAACCACATAAGCTAAATCTATTTTAATATGTTTATAAACGTCTCGATATATTTTTATATAATATTAAAATTTGTATGTAGTCTTATCTACAAAAATTATAGGTTTTAAATTATGGCTGGACCAGATTTTTTGCAAAAATTCCAAGTCTCTTATGATTTTTTTTACATACAATTTTCTTTGAAAAACATCGTTTTAAATATTGTAACGTAGCGTTATTATATTATGTATATTTTTATGAATGTACAATAACTTATTTTGGGTCAAACGACCCCATATAAAATAATAAATTTGTAACGACTGACTTTAAAAATTTAACTTAATAAAGCCTGTTGTACGGAGGCCTTAAGTTTAAATTTAAATAGAATTAAAAATAAACTTTGATATTAAAACATCTTAAGAACATTCACTTACTTCAGTAATTCCAGATTTTTGTATTATTTTTTTGTAGTATATCTTTTATTTATTATATGAACGTACGGTGTTATAAATATTTAACAAACAAAAATATAGAATGTTTCCCAATAATTTTGGGCCTGCATTAAAGATTCTGTTTATGCGTTTTACATATAGTGGCGGCCAACTGCACTTCATAACATTTTTTGAATATGTTTGAGTAGACTTATTATACATACTTACCCAGCTATTTTAAATTATTTATGTTGAGTTTTACAATCTCTAAAATTTGAGTAAAACGATCAATACCAATATTGAGATTAGCATTTTATTGTCATTCCATTTTGTAAATCCTTTTTTATTATAAATAAAGCTTTATTCGTAATATTTTTGCTATTTAAAATTTTATAAATATTTAATTTAGCAGTTGACCAATTCTGCTTTACAAGATTTCGGCATTTTTGGCAACATCTTTACGACCCCTTTTGCCAATTGGGGTCATTATGACTACAACTTAGAAATGGGGTCTTAATTTCTTATGACCCCGTGAAATGGCTATATTAGTGGGAAAACACATCGGCATTGCTTCTTATTAAGTATTTATATTTTATCTTAAAGGAATATATCTGACATATTTCCCTTAACTAATATCTAACCTAAACCACTGTATTTCAGTGAACCAATGAATATTTTGCCTATATAAACGAGAAATATGTCAGATATATTGAGAAAAAAATGAATTATTGTTATAATATGCTTAGATTTAACATTTTAATGTACCTGTTGTCAGGTGGGCCTGTAAATATACATTTTTAGTATATCATTATATTATTACGAGTTTAGTATACTTACACGATATGTAATTCTTGCATAATACTTGGGCACTGATCAAGACTAGTTATAACATTCCATATATCATTGACAATAATTCTGATAGTATAGTAAACTTATTTTTAAATAGATAGGTATCCAAACACCAATATTGGCGACTGGGGTCTGGTTCAAAGGGATTTTTGGGGTCAAAAAGCCCTCAAAGGTAATATAATACCTAATGTATACTTTGTATTTAATGTATCAGTTAGCCTGTTAAGTAATAGACGCAATAACTGCATTGTTACATTAACTGTTATGTGTAAACCATCACAAATGAACGCTATATATTTTATAGGACCAGTATTAAGTTACAGTGCCTTTTGTAATATTTAATAAATTTTATAAGCAACTTCTATGGTTTTATTGTTTTAAATAGTTTCCTTGACCTTATCCTAACCAACTTGGAAATTTAGCAATATCTGAAAAGTTAAAAATAATGTAGGTACCTACCCCTTGTGTGTCACTTTCCATATTTGCTGCTGGAAGGATAAAGTAGCGGGTTGGAGCTATCACATGGCTAAAATTAGCAACATAAACGCTCCAATCACAATCTGAAAAGATGTAAGACCCTCCTTTTAGTCGATGACGGTTGCTTCCCATGGCGAAACGGGAGCTATAGCTCTCAGTGGCTCTTAAATTTAAACAGTGAATTTATTTTTACACGTCAACACAATGTACAAATATGTACATATAGATAAAGACGACATTTCCTTTCACAAAAATGAATCGGGATTGGGCTCCTAGGTAACCGGATCGGAATTGCAGTCAATCCCGACAAGAGTCAAGCGATTATTAACAGTAGCAACCGAAATATTGCCAAAATTTATGCAACCACTCAATCACCTCCAAATCAAATCATTTAATGCAAGTAAGTATACCACAACAGGAAGTTTTGAAAGTCACGCAATAAAAAATCAAAAGGTTTAACTTTATTGGTGTCAGTTTGTCCTCTAGTGAAGCTATTTGCTCATTCCAAAGTGTAGATTCCTATGAAGAAGAACGAGCGTGAAACTCCGTGGACACTCTTTTTCAATCAGTTTCACAATGCGTTTCTTTGTTACATCATTTAGTCAGTTCTATTTTGTGAGAACAGTGTAACACTAATATTTAGTTGTATTTAGTCAAAGAATCCGAAAAAGAAATTAACCTCAAGTACAGCAACTTTAGACAGTCTCGAGTTGACCAGTCCAAATAGGCGGCGTCCGTTCATGAACATGACACGTACACCACGTGGTCAACACCGCCAAACTCAACCATATTATAGGGAATCGAGAGCGATCCAGTGCCCTTACCAGTGCCAATGAGACCGACGGTACACCTGTCCAGTACAGTGAAAGGACTTAGGCTTGCATCGCCCTCAATTGGCGGTATCATTTGCCAGTGGGAGTCAAAAGGTTACCCTTTCATTGTATCCGTCTCTGTCTAGGTCATGTCGTCTCGGAAACGTATTGCTTCTTAGCACCAAGACTACGCTTGTACAGACTTTTATCTTCCCCGTCATCGATTATGGTGACGTGTGTTACTATGCCCTTAATGCAGATATCCTCAACAAACTCGATCGCCTACTAAATATCTGCATTCCAACTTACGTTAATATGATCACGTGTCAGTGCACGCACCCATTTACCATCGCAGCGAGCTAGGGGTGCTTATAACTTTATTTGTCTTATAGCTACTTCAACTCTCTATCTCTTCCCCTGACTATTGGCTTCACATAGTCAGTACCTATTTGTGAGAGAACCACGGGCGAGAACCATACTAGAAGGTTACTCTCCTCCCGCAATCTGAATTACGCACGATGGAAGATGGACAGGAACCTGTCCATCGCACTAATTTTACTCATTCTTCTTTTTTCATACGAGTCATTTCCTTCGGATACCAGGCGATTGAGTTTAGCAAGAGGATGGTAGTTTCCCTATTTCCTTTATGATTCTCCACATATATCATTATAGTAAGGAAAATTATTTGTGCTTTATTGTACACAATGAAATGAAGTTGGTACAAAAGGCGGACTTAGGTAATGCCATATGGCATTCTCTACCAGTCAACCTTTGGGTCAAGTGGAAATGTCTATGTTGCACCTGCACCGGTCATCGTTGGGAACGTTACCCTATAAGTTGTAGACCACTAGATATATATCTAGCACTGATTATTCAGCTCGCTAGATCCAATACGATAAAGAGGTCGCCTGAAGAATCTATCTCGTATTGCATTTGGGAAGTTATTTCATCAAAAATCCCACAGTTTCTTAAACCCAGTATGTACAATCAGTGTGTTACCAATGATGCCATACGGTACAGAGACATGGTCCCTTGCTTCTTGTCTGTTAGAGAAACTTAAAGTCGCCCAACAAGCGATGGAGAGAGTCATGCTTGGAGTATTTTTGCGTGGCAAAATCCGCGATGTGGAAATCCATCAAAGAATCAGTGACCGATCGATATAGCTCTTAAATCTGCAAGCTGAAGTGGCAATGGGCACGTAGTTCGGATGACTGACGGCCGATGGGTCAACAAGTGCCTGAGTGGCGACAACGCATGGGCAGGCCTGCTAGACGGACCGACATCATAACATATTACAAAATTAGACTATCAGAATATAGGTACTTATGTTGGCTAGAGTTGTAATGGCCACTCAAAGGTCTCATTTGGCAGTGGCACTGGAACGCTCGATTCTCTGTGATATGGTTGAGTTGAGCGGTGCTAGTGTAAGTCCCATATACGTGAAAGGGACGTCAGTTGGGACTGGTCCGGACTGTTTATTGTCCTTAAGGTTATTTTCTTTTTATGTTCCTCTGAATAAATATTAGTGTTATACTGCCCTCACATAATGGAACTCAGAATCTATATGTAAAACTGATTGATAATTAGTAACGATAGCGTTTGTCGCTCGTTCTTCTCCATTGGAATCTACACTTTGGGGTGAGCTAACAGCTACGCTAAGACATTTTTTATCTTGAATCTTTGTTTTACGTTCAAAAGTGCCTGCATTGGTCTTATTGAAATAAGTGATTTAAAATTTATTTTTTGAAGAAGTTCAATTAGTGAACAGATCATAAAGCTACAGGTAAGTCTATACTAATATTATAAAGAGGTATTTGTAAGTTTGTATGTAGGGGGTAATCTTTGGAACCACTGGTCGGATTCCCAAAATTCTTTCACTTAGCTGCAATCGAAAGGAGCCGAGCAGCGAGTGATACAGCGCGGGAGTAGCTAGTAAAAAATTAAAACAAAATATTCGCCTTTTATACATTTATTTATTGACTATACTTTCATACATTGACTAAAACTAATTCATGCAACATAATATCTTATTTTCAATTATAATATAAAATCTTATACAATATTTATTTTAATACTCCGTGATGCAACAGCGCTGACCTCAGAGGTCGTGTTAGGCACTTTTTAAGGCACCATTTAACTTTTCAAGTTGACAAATCTATCGGGGTCCCAAAGTCCCCAAGTTCTTGGGGTCAAAAGTCCCAAGTTCTTTGGGGTCCAAAGTCCCAAGTTCTTGGGGTCAAATACCCCAAATTATCGAGGTCAATAGACCCCAAGATATCGCGGTCAAAAGACCCCAAGTTTTCGGGGTCAAAAGTCCCAACTTATGGGGGTCATTACTAGAGTAAGAGTCCCCTAAATTAACAGTAAATAAACTTAATTAATAATAAAACAACATTAATGCCGAATCGAGGCGTTACTTAAACATATTTATATCTAAATAACATTTATAATCTGATAACTATAACATAACAACCAAAGTTAAAGTTAAATAAACATACATTGAGTAGCTGCCTATTTTAACGACACAGATACGTAGCGAGTCTTACAAATTATAATTACCAATTATATTGGATTTGTTGCTTCTTAATTATATTTGGCATGGTATTAATATCTTTTGATATATTTTCTGTAGCATTTGATAGTAGACTGTCCAATCAACAATTAGATATACAATACATATTTACAAGACTAATTAGAAAAACATCAGACTCGCTATCAATAACAGTACAACAAAAACTAAGCTTATCGTTATACACAATTATACTAGTTAGACTAAAACAGGTGCAAATCCTGCTCAAATTATATTTCATACAGACTCCATAATGAAACATTGGATAACTTTTACAATAATGAAAACTGATTTTTGGAACAAATTTATTGTGCTTATTTATTAGATTGGAAATGCTTTTGCATCCAGTCTTAAACATACTACGGGCCTGCTGGAAGAGATTTCTAAAGAAATAAGCTGTGCCTTTGGACCTAATTGTTGTATTATTTTTCTTGTCCAACTTACTGTGTGTACAAAAATTATTAAATAAATAAATACTATTAGGCAAGTGAAATAGACTAAAACAGCTAGTTTTCGATAAAAATGACATTTTTAAATTTACCACAGCTTTTTGCAAAAATACAGTTTTCATTATCGCAAAAATACATTCAAATAAAATAGAGTATTTTTATTTCTAATCACAGTTTCAATAAACTGCATGTAAATTCTTATAAACTATAACATTTAGATACACGTAGATATATTATTTAATTATATAACATTAGACAAATTAAAACTATTTTGACAAGAATCTACATTTTTATGTCAGCAAAGAATTCTAAGAACATAGGGCTTCCTAAATGACTCTATTGTTTGGTTGGAAGAGACCTCTCTTCATCGACTATCTGACACACTTAGTCTAATAAAAGTAATTTTACTCAGTGAACTGTAATAAGCAATGAATCTTAACTAAATAACAGATAGATATCACTCTTTATTACATTTATAAACACGACATCCGCATTCCTTAAACCGCTAGACATAAAAAAATTCTTGCAAACTAGTTCTTTAAAATAATTCGTCAAACATTATATAAAATACTACATAGTACATGGTATAGATAAATCTAGAAAAAATGAATTACAATGACGTTTATGATATGATATAAAAATGACAAACAATTATTCCACATGGCCCCCTATATAAAAGAAAACATTCCTTCACTTTCAGTTCCTATTTTACCAAATTTGGGTTTTTATTTATTTGCCTTGGTATATATTCTGCTACATAGAGCAAACAGACTACCATAGGTCCAACCGCTGCCCTGATCAGAGTAGGAGAAGGCGTGAGGTGGTTTTTAGTCAGTAAGAGTCTGACACTCTCTCTCTCTTCACCTAGGGCATTCACGTCATTGGACGCTTTGAAAGTATTTTTTTAATACTTTAGATATTAAAAGACCAGCTTTAAATACAAAATCATATCCAATACATTGTAGTTTTTTTTATTTTTTTTGCTCTACAATGACATGGACACCTTGTCTATGCGACACAGGAACTTTTTAAAGCGCCGATGCCCCAAAAACATCTATATAAGTAATTTCACAAATCTTTGATAAATTAATCAATAACTTATCTCACAGTTTATTTACACAGATACCATATATATCTCTAGAAAGGCATCTATTTTAGACTGTGAAACTGGAGTTAAGGCAATTAAATTTACGAATTTTGGCCAAGTCAGTAACTTAAAGTTATTTTCACATTGAAATAACTAATAATACAAATCCGTGTACAAAATTGCGTGTCTATAGAGACGATATTTTTAATAATCTCTATAACCACAAACAATATTAACAATTACACAATCAAATTGTTACAAAAAAATCCTCTCAAAAACATCATTTCGTGTCTCAAATTACATGCGCTAAAATGCGCAAATCGGCGCAAAATTAGCGCAAACTTGCGTTATAAATCTTAGCCTTTTCAGCAGCAAAGAAATATTTATAAATCATTTTTTCAGTATTTTAATACTTTATTATTTTGTTTTAGACCGAGTGTACGAGCTTATAGCCTATGTACTTAACAACGTCACTCAATCCCCAAATTGTTAGACAGAGATCGATATATTTTTATCTTTATTTTTGTCCCTTTCATTCTTTTTATATTTTCGATCCCAATTTACTTAGGATCAGCATAGTATAATAAATCTATCTACCTACCCTTTTTGTTGACCTTTAAGCTAGTTATATTGTCATCTCTTTCTTTCTTTGCGAGAAAGACAGAGATGGACAGAAAGACATTTGATTTTATAATTTAATGATTACGTATACGATCTTATATACCATTTATAAAAAGATAACTTGTTATAAGGTTCAATTTGTTTTCATGTGGTGAACATACATTCCAAGGAATATTTTTAATATCACAAAGATCTTTTATTAATGTTGTCATTTCAAATTGTACCTTATATTTTTATCTTCACGCTCCTTTAGTTATTTTTGGTAGGGCAGAGCAGTAGAGCGCTGCAGTCGTCGACTCTCTCGAGGCGGTAGAACGAGTTGTCGGGCATGTGACGAACGAGGTCGTCTGTGAGTCGTACACGGGCCCCGTTCGGTCCCGAAACCAGTACGGTCTCACACTCCTATGGGGAAAAGATACATTTCGTTAATTGGATTTAAATTTTTAGCCGCTGTTTATCATTTTATACTAAAATATGTGGATGTGTCTTATGGCTGTGCCTAAGAGATTTGCACCCGACGTGCCGTATGGTCCGACGTCAATCAAATCACTGCTGTGATTGGTTAACTTAAAAAAATACTACTTTGCGCTATAATTATGAGCCATATTTTTAGCTTTGTTTTGGTGTATAATTTATCTATACTAATATTATAAAGAGCTGTAGAGTTCGTTTGTTTGTTTGAACGTGCTATCTTCAGAACTAATGGTTCCAATTTGAACAATTCTTTTTTTAACTAAAAATCGCAGGTTAAGTATGTCTCACGATAGTTATTATAAAAAATCTTTTTTTGTTTGTTACTCAATTTTGGAGGTAGGCTATAGGCTATAAAACATCACGCTTCGATCTGTACGAGCAGAGCAGCGGGTGAAACCGCGCTAGAGAAGCAAGTTACATGTAAATAGGGGAAATTCTCATGTTTTCTTAATAAAAAATAAACTCCACTTATTTCTCGATCACTACCGTGTACTGAGTAGTGGATTAAATGAAAATCAAATTATGAGTTAGCAGATAACTTGAGACAAAGAAAATTCAAAAAAAATTACCTTAGAGGCATGGACGAGAGAGTTCAATTTCTGTAGGAGCTCGTTCGCTCTGCATTCGTGTAGGTAGAGCGCGCTGTATATATTACTGGCGGGCGGGCAAACGAAAACTGTCAGCCGGGGCAGGATACGTCTGAAATTAACAAACAAATACCTTATGTAGAACAAATTTCCGCGCGTTTAGGAGTTTTTGCCATACCTATTAACGAAAACAAGTATGGCACAACTTGTCTCTGCATTGTTCTCACATAGGGGTACAGTAATCAATAAAAAATGTATTATTAGTGAATTTTAAAACAAATATTTTTTTAAAAAGAGTAACGATGGAGTTTCTTTCTCGTTTTTCTCCATTCGAAACTACAATTTGGAACGAGCACCTAGCTTCACTGACGAACAGACTACTATTCTATTTTGACGTTTCAAAGGTACCTATTTATGGTTTAGTTGGAATAAATTATTTTGATTTGATTTGATTTGCAGCTCACTTAAAGGTCTCATTACAATATAGTAAATTGTATAAGTGGAAATTTTTAGTATTTTCTTAGCTTCAAATACTAATTATCACTGGTTGGGTTGGTGGTTGTACTGTAGATCCTGGCTTACAGAAGTTGCAGCGATTTTGGAAGGCAGTGGCGCACTTGTCCCATTAAAAAAATATAGTAAAAAGCTAGTTTTTTATGAATAACAGACAATAAATTATTTGTTCTGGTTTGAACCTATTGTAATAATTATAATTATCATTATAGTTGACGAAATCTAGATCAATATAGAACATTAGAAATATCTTTAGCATCAAATGTTTATTTCTAGACTATTTGGACTTAATCCAAAACGTGGCATCACTGTCACACAATTAGAAACTGCAATTACTATGTATAAAAGAAAATAAATATTATTTTTATTTTTACATTTACATTTTGCAGGTGTAGACAAAGTTTAGTTGCCTATACTTTGGCAGTTATTCGTTATATAGGTTATTTACGAATTTATTAAATACGAATTTTCAATGCCATGAAATACAAAAAAAAAGAATAATTCCATAACTCAAAGATTTTAAAACAGAGACCAAAAACAATTTGTTGATCATACAGAGAGTTGTTACAGATGGGAACTTTATTATTTATTAAGGTTTTTTCGTGAGGGGAAAATCATTTAGAATCCGATCCCCCCCGGATTGGATTCCTGCATGGGACAACCCTTTGTGCATCCACATGTTGTTCCGGGTCTAGGTGTCATGTGTATAAAACAAATATATAAATTCTAACATTTCCAAATAATATTACATCAACGAACTCACACATTGGCCTCACAAATAAACAGTTTGAGGAATTGTTAACAAACATTTTAAAATAATCTTGACCTTTTTTTGTGAGAGGAAAATGATCAAATGACTTCTCCCGCCCAAGGTAAGGCGAGAGAGACTGTCAGACTCATACTGACTAAAAACTCCCCCTGTTCCTTCTCCTGCTCTGGGCCGAGGTCGCGGTACCTCATTGCGCTTACCCCGCAACCCCGGTTGAATCTTGACCTAAGTCTAGTTACGTTATATGTATTAATAGTAAGTCTACTCACTTGGCGCGCAGAGCGTTAAACAGACGGATACCGTCAGGAAGCCCGCAAATCTGGATAATTTCGTCACGAGTCAACCTGTGGAGAAAAACAATTTATTACTCATCTATACTAATATTATAAAGAGGTAAAATTTGTAAGTTTGTATGTAGGAGAAATCTTTGGATACCACTGGTTGAATTCCCAAAATTCTTTCACTGATAGATAGCTACAATGTTCCTGAGTGCTATAAGCTATAAAACATCACGCTACGATCAAATGGAGGCGAGCAGCGGGTAAAACAGCGCGGGAGTAGCTAGTTATGTATATTATATATTAACACTACATACAACAAAACAAAGCTGAATTCTCTGTCCCTATGCCATCATGTATGCTTAAATCTTTAATACTATGGAACAGATTTGAGGCCGTTTTTTATAGATACGAGTGATTGAAGAGGAAGGTTTTTATGTGTATTAACATCAATTAAATACAGGGCAATTTTAATATCAGCATTTCAAGCTGGGACCAGTTGCTAGCATACATACCTGAGCAGATCAGCTCCAGAAAAGTTGGTGAAAGTGGCAGCGTGGTGAGAGAAACGGTGTCTCGCCAACCAAGCCTGGGTCTCAGACGAGCTGGCTTCTTTCGACAAACCCGAGAACTGTAACAAATATACACAGAATAGAAAAAACAGTCATTAACTACATAGTTTAAACAAAGCCGCTTTCTCTGTAGATATATCCCTATGTAAGCTTAAATCTTTAAAACTACGCAACGGATTTTGATGCGGGTTTTTGTCTATACTTCTATAACGTACTAATATTATAATGAGGTAAAATTTGTAAGTTTATATGTGGGGAAGTTGGAACCACCGGTCGGATTGCCAAAATTCTTTCACTGATAGATAGCTACAGTATTCCTGAGTGCCATAGGCTATAAAACACCACGCTACGATTAAATAGAGCCGAGCAGCGGGTGAAACCGCGCGAGAGTAGCTAGTAATAGATATGCTAGTAATAGATATAGTGATTGACGAGGAAGGCATAATAAACATCTGTTAAATAGTGGAGACATTTAGTATCAGCATTCCTCCCGTGCGAAGCAGAGGCGGATCGCTAGTTGTTCATATTTATAGTCACTGCTAATCTTGTAAGTAAGGACGATAGAACACTTGTAACCATTATTTTACTTATTGTGGGTCTCAACGTGGGTTTCTTTTAAATAAAAGAAACAGGTAAACCAGCGATAAACATGAAGATTTTTAACTGGCCCAACCTTTGAAAATTTGAAAGAGCCATATTTTGGGAGCACGAATATCTCGACCGGAGTGTATAAAACATGGACGACGGTTGCTTACCATCAGGTAATTCGTCCGCTCGTTTCACTAATAGCGTTGGCAAACTCGCCAACTCGCGTCTTTAAGAGCTTAACCCGTGGTATAGCGGATATCATATCATATACCGGCAGACAAGGAGTTAAACATGAGCGTGCAAGTATAGACCTTGAACTTGGCTGTTGAACTGACCTGTTCAGGGTCTTCAGCAGGCTGCGGTAGGTCGGGCAGTATGGCGCCGGGCGAGTGACACGGCGGCGAGTTCACTTTTACATCATTCGTTCTGGGGACAAAAAGACACAAATTTTTATTCAGTTATAAGAAATGTGGTGACCCGGAGGTTAAGGTGCTCTCTTCTCATGCATGAGGTTTCAACACCTGGCAAGCACTGTGACTTTTTCAGAGTTATATTAATGTACTTTCTATTATTATTTCGGTACCACTGAAAACATAGTTAGGAAACCTGGACTTATAATTTCTAATCATAAGTATGAAATTGCCCATCCACCAATCCACGTTGAGCAAGCGTCTAGTCCAGTGTGGAAAGAGGCCTATGCAATGCACTTATAGGCTGATGATGATGCATGTGACGACAGCACGGTTGGCGCGGTGGCTGGGCAACTGGCTGCCGTGCAACGTGTCGCGGGTTCGATTCCCGCACGGAACAACTCTTTGTGTGATCCACAAATTGTTGTTCCAGGTCTGGGTGTCATGTGTATGTGAAATTGTATGTTTGTAACTGCACCCACACGCACACAGGCGAAAATCCTAATGTGGGGCAAGCAACGTGTGTGTGTGTGAATGAGATGTATATGATCAACGGACTGACACCGCAATCTATGATAATAGTGGCTATAGAAAGATTAGAGTAAGTACCAAGTTGGGCTGTAATATACACAAAGGATTTCCACTACATGCGAAATACATGTAGATACAAAATACATGTACTGTGACAACATTTCCCCAGCTAAACATTAAATAGAGCAACGGTACAAACAAGATTGTTGCCAAAACTCAATTTCCTCATGTTTATTTAGAACTGGCCTTTCTTAACGTCCGGTAAACATTCACTCGTGTCATTTCTGTTTCAATTTTATTATTTGGAGCTTTTTCTATTTCTTTCATTGATATTTTTTAAGTTCTCATCATCATCATCATTATTATCAGCCGAAAAACGTTCACTGCTGGACAAATGCCTCGCCTTTAGACCTCCAAGCCAAACGACAACTCGCCACATGTATCCATAGGCTCCCCACGACTCTGATGATGTCGTCGGTCCACCTAGCGGGAAGCTTACCTAGTTTTCCTTTCCCAAAGGATAAAAACGGAAACTCTGAGGCCGAAATGTCCGTCTATCTGTGTGTCACCGTGTCACGAGGATATCAAGAGCCGTGATAGCTAACTATGAAATTAGGACTGATGATATATTTAATACAAAAGTATATTCAAAATCTGCTTGCTACACATGAGAAGTTACAAGTTTGTTGACGGTACAAGAGTAAGGTAAACTATGAAAATAAAGGTATAGAATACTCACTCTTGGCAATAAGAGGTCTTCATTTGATTGTTTGATGCGAGTATTGCTGAAAGATAAAACATATGATTAGTTCAATACATAAGAATTAAAAAGGCGATGTAGCCGAACCGAGGTTGACCTTTCTTTGCGAAGGACCGCTCGTAGTTCATCACGGTAAAGATTTAGGATCGTGGATGCAATCGCAATGATGTACCACATCCCCGATTTAGAGCAGGAGAAGGAATAGATGGTTTTTAGTCAGTAAGTTGTTGGTAGGTAAACCATCAGCGCCGCCCATGGACAAGATAAATATAATTGACTGCAAGGTTGACGCGGTGTCTTTACAACTGGCTGCCGCACAACGTGTCGCGGGTTCGATTCTCGCACGGAACAACTCTTTGTATGATTTACAAATTGCTGTTTCAGGTCTGGGTGTGATGTGTATGTTTGTATACCGCAGCCTGGACCTAGGTCAGGAGAAGGAATAGATGGTTTTTAGTCAGTAAGAGACTGACACTCTCTCTCACCCCACCCAGAGCGGGAGAAGTCATTTAATGACTTTCCTCTCTCGAGAAAAGCCCATCCTGTCATTATATCAAATGGCTTCTTCTATCCTGGATATAGCGAGACGAAGGGTCAGACTATTACTGACTAAAAACCCCCGTTCCTGTCCTAGGTCCAGGCTGCGGTATACAAACATACACATCACACCTAGACCCGAAACAGCAATTTGTGGATCATACAAAGAGTTGTTCCTTGCGAGAATCGAACCCGCGACACGTTGTGCGGCAGACACTTGTAAAGACACCGCGTCAACCTTGCAGTCAGATTGGATTATTTAAGTATTTATTAATATTAGAGGTTCATTTTCGCGGGCTGGCTCGTTTGTCGGCCTGGCCTCGGGCTGGCTAGGGTCATGGGGAAAGAGCCCAGGATTGAACTCAATATCTGAAGCCTAACAATTGACCCTGGTTCCAGAACGTTGTCAGAGAACAATACTCTATTTACTCTATTAGGCAAGAAAGCTGTTAACGGTTTTTATTTATTGCAAAATGCCATATTTTAAAAAGCGATTTTTAATAACCATCGGAAAAATTTCAGTATTGCAAAACATTGAGGTCTTAGGCGAGAGGGAGAGACAGGGGGGGGGAGATTCAACTTTTTATTCAGTAAGTCAGACTCTTACTGACTAAAACTATTCCTGCACAGGCCTGGCGTCCTTTCTAGGTCTACTCCTGACTCCTGGTCTTTCCTCGTTATTGGCGTAGCTATTTAATTAAGAATGTATTAAAAGTAAACTCACCATTGTGTGCTAATACCGGCTTGTTCACCACTATTGGGCTTGCGACTGTCTTCGGGGCCACACTGTAACAAACAAACATACATCTTTACTACACTGCCAATAACAATAAAATAAGTACTTAGGGCTGATTTTTCAATAGTCAGATAAATGTTATCTGAGGAATAAAATTGTTGCTGTCACTGTCTTACACAAACATTCTGACGCGACAGCATCATAATTATTTCCCAGGTAACTTTTATCTAATCTGTTTCTTAGTGAAACAATAAGTCAGGTGCTATCATTTTTATATATTTCTTATGGGATATGGTTGACGGATTTACGCCAAAAACAGGCGATCACCTGGCGGCATGTAAAAAATCAGCGCCGCCCATGGACAAGAAAAATATAATTTTATGTTAGACATTCGCAATACCGGATGAGTTCAAAATGCTGTGACTTTTAGGGATTGTTACGAATTTGACGGTTGTAGTCTTCGGCCGGGCACGAAAATCATCATAATCAAGATGAATGAGGTATATAGTCAGTAATTAGATCTCAGCTTTCTTCTTAAAAAGAATATTCGGTTGTACTTTGAGCATTGTCTGTTTGTCAAACAAATACTTCCAACAAATCTCAATTCACAACATCCAGATTGGTAGATTTCTTTAATTTAGAAACGACATAGAATATTAATGTTTCAGTCATGTTAATTCGAGACACAATATAAAAACAACAACTAGTGATCGAGTCGGCGTTCGCTTGGGGTTTGGTGAATTAAAACTATAATCTATGTTATACTAATATTATAGAGAGGTAATATTGTTAGTTTGTATGTAGGGGGTAATCTTTTGGAACCGCTGTTCGGATTACCAAAATTCTTTTACTGATAGATAGCTACAATGTTCCTGCGTGCTACAGGCTATAAAACATCACGCTACGATTAAATGGAGCCGAGCAGCGGGTAAAACCGTAGAGTAGCTAGTAATATTATAAAGCTTAATAGTTTGTTTATTTGAACGCGCTAATCTCCGGAAGTACTGGTTCGAATAAAATAATTATTTTCCTGTTTGTTAGTCCATTTATCAAGGAAGGCTATTAGGCTATAAATCATTAATCTATGATCTGTAGGAGTTGACCAGCGGGTGAAACCACGTGAGAGTAGCTAGTTTCCTATAATTTCTATTTATCATTTGCAAATAAAACGATCTTTATCTTTATCTTCTAACAATTTTTTTTGTGAGGGGAAAGCCTTCAAATTACTTCTCCCGCCCAAGGCCGGGCGGGAGGGAGTGTCAGACTCTTACTGACTAAAACCCCCCCGTTCCTTCTCCTGCTCTGGGCCGAGGTCGCGGTGCCTCATTGCGCTTACCCCGCAACCCCGGCTGAACATCAGCCTTATAGGGCCCCGTCTGTGGTGGTCTATTGGCTCTTTGAGACGCGCGAGGAACGCTACGCGCCGTACGCTCGGGCATCTTCTCACAAAGTTAATGAGTTGTAATAACCAAGAAGCCAATTAAAAATATAGCAAAAAGCAAGAATTATATACACTTTTATTTCTGTCATACGAATCACAATGAATGATACGGAAAAGCAAACACGTTTTTCAGGAAATAAATACGGAATATAATTTTAATCTATTGTGTTACGTTGTTGATAAGGATATATAAATACTATTGTAATATTATATGTAGGTAAGTACTGACATTACATATAAACGGCCTTATTACAAAACAAGGTTTTATTTTAATCTAGGACTAAACCATAGAGCCAGTTTTCGTATTTCGAATTGAAGGTAGATGACAATAGGATTCAAAATTCAAAACCCGACTCAATGGTTTAAACCTAGACGTTTAAAGCACATACGCTTAGTTTAAAAACCAATATCAAATAGATCTTACTAAAGATTTTGTAAGAATGTGTTGATGTATGTTTGTTATTCTTTAACTCAAAAACGACTGAACCGTTTTGGTTGAAATTTGGTATGTAGATGGTGAAGGAAAACTTCGTGAGGACGACCAGACTACATAGTTTATAATATTAGAATATAATTTCTAATTATTTTATAAGTTTCAAATCGCCAGCTTGAGCAAGTGCAATGCAATTAATGCTGAAACTTTCTCCATGTGAGAAGAGGCCTTAGCTCAAAAGTGGGCACTTATAGCCTGATAATGACGTGATATCATGTGAATAAAGATTTTATGTGCATGTAAGAAAAGTTATGTGTTTTGTGAGACAACCTTTGAAGCTATTTAAACTCAAAACAATTTTTTTATCTATCTATCTTTCGGCAAACGAGCAGACGGATTACCTGATGGTAAGCAATCAGCGCCGCCCATGGACACCCGTAACAACAGAGCCATTATGAGTATATTGCCGACCTTTGGGGATTGGAGATTTAGGTATTGGGGGAGGGGAGGGATCGGGCCTCCAGCACACACAGTGAAACACTGTGGTTGTTTCACGCTGGTTTTCTGTGAGGCTGTAGTATCATTTTATACATATATATTGTCTATTATTATAATTATTTATTCAGTTTAAAGAAGTCCAGTTGTATAACACCTTCTAAAACATTATATAAATCGTTGATATCTGATATCAGTGTTCGGATAACAGATAGGGAAGGACTCAATATAGCAAATACTAGTGTTATCTACTGATATGTAGATACTTTGCTATAATTATAGTATTGTAATCTGATTAGCGAGTAACATGTAACTGTTTTATTGGTATGTTGTTACTTAAATGTGAATACAAGTTATATTTTTCTTTATAAGATGTATGTAGGGCTGAATTGACATCTATCACCACTGATGAGACTCGGCGGGACAGTGATTAGCTAGTTTCTGTTTTTAGTGGAGTAGAGAAAATAATAATTGTTGATTGTTGAGTTGAATGATAGTGTCAGACTCTGACTGACTAAAAAGTACTAAAAACAACCCAGCTCATAATCTACTGTGTGTCAGGAAGGGCTTTATCTAGACTAATATTATAAAGAGGTAAAATTTATAAGTTTGTAGGTAGGTTGTATCTTTGGAACGACTGGTCGGATTGCCAAAATTCTTTCACTTATTGATAGCTACAATGTTCCCGAGTGCTATCGGTTATAAAACATCACGCTACAATTAAACAGAGCCAAGCAGAGGGTGAGACCGCGAGAGTACTAGTACCATATAATTTATTGTGTTTGCATGAAATCTAAATCTAGTCTACCTAAAGGTATACTAAGCCAAAATAGGCTTCCTCTACAAGTACTCTCTTGTGTGAAGGAGGAGCTTATTCCCTTACAAATTGTTGATGAAATTCAAGATTATTCTTATTGGAATTTTGTTAAATTCTTCATGTTCATCATAACGGTTTGTGTCACCCTAGACCAACATTTTCTTTAGTAAGATAGTCTTATTTTTTTACAGTGATATTTTAGCATGTTAGCTTAGGCAATTTTGTCTATAAAAAAATATTCTTCGAGTATTAAAACTAGTTTCAAGGGGAAAATTCATTGAGTATAACTGAAGTAAATAAACATAGGTTATGGTAAAATGTTTTTTTACTAACAGTATACCAATATAACTATTACATCTCATGTAAAATAAATAAAAAACAGCCTTGACACAGATAATCTTTTTTTAGACTATTCTAAAATGAGGCATGACTTCTTTTAGATTTAAAACCACTCAGAATGTACTTACTACATGAGTATTTCAGGAATACTAGGTTGTTATCTAGGTTATATTTACGTGATGTTTACAAATGTGTAAACCAGTTTTAGAACCAGCAAAATACTGGTTACAGGCAGACTGTCATTGACAAAAAACCAACAGAAAAACCGTAGCAAACGTCTGAATTCGTTATCACGTTCAATCAGAGCCTATTACAGCGTGATGCGTAGAATACAAGAGGCGAGAATGTTGATCTAATTTGAATTACTAAAAATAAAAACAAAAAGCATATTTACGCCAATCTCGGGCGACGAGCGGGTCTGACGTGGACGTTAGCGGCTTTCAACCTCCTAGCTAGTTCCCTGTAAGTCGCCGGGTCGGCTTCGATCTCCACCTCGGCTTTCAGAAGGGAGAACTTCATGCGCCACCCTTGCGCCTCCACGCCGTGCACAAGACGAGCACTGAGCACAACCCCACGCCCCAGGTGCCGCGCACTCAGTCTCTGCTCGAGCACGAGCATATTACTCGTCAGCTATAGTCCTGCCTAGTTAAGTTGAAGAAGATGAAGGCACCAGATCCAACGCGATACGCCCGCCCGCGTGCAACCACCATAGCTGGCCCGCAACTCGCTTCAACAACCATTTGTTACGATTATATTCGCACTATATACACCACAACACAAGGCTGGAGTCCTCAAACTGTTCCTAGCACTTTTTTACTTGTCCAACATATTTGAACAGTCGACTGCCCGCAGAATATTACGCACGAATGTAGATTATCGAACACTGCAATGCGTTTTTACACACGAGATTACACTGGTTTGATTACTTGCAGTGAAAAATCCGACGAATATCAGCGGAAAATAATTGCGTTGAATAGAAACAAAGGAGTACGTGACAGACGACGGAGCGCGAGCGACTGGGCGTAATGGCCGCTGATTGGCCGCGAGTGAGGCGCGCACCTCGATTGGATCAAAACCGGTTGGAATCGGTTCGCAGAGGCTGCGGCCGGCTCGGGTCGGTGCATCGTGCGCTCACCGAACGCTAGTGGTGTGACACGTATGTTTATGTCGTGCCGATTCGATTTTTTTCGTTATTTTAGAATAAAGGGCATGGCGAGATTATTTTTTTTTGCTTTAAAGTTTTATGTACACGTTTAGTGGAAAATTACCAGGCGTAGTAAACAATTAAGTAGAGTAAGATATTTTTGACTGTAAACTTAGGTAGGTACTTACAGTAAACTAATTTATAAAAATTGACAGATTGGCAACAAACCGGATATATTAAACATTTAATTCAGTTTCGCCCAATTCTGGGTGAATTCATTGCAAACTCATGTAATCCGGTTTGTGCAACTCGTCTTTATCGTTGTTTCTAAGAACAAGATTCTGGATGTTAATAACCGCTATTGTTCGTATGAAATTAACA